ACTATTACAGAAGATTCATCAAGGGCTTTTTTTCTGTAATAGCCCCCTTCACTAATATGACTCGCAAAGGGTTAGTAGCACGGTATGGTCCAAAGAGGCTGTGAATGCTTTTGAGACTCTTAAAAAAAGATTTGCCTCTGCGGACATACTAAAACATTCCGACACCAATAAACCTTTTATATTGGAGGTTGATGCATCCGAGACAGGGGTAGAGGCTGTTCTCTCTGAGAGAAAGCCAGGGAACACCATTGCATCCTTGTGGCTACTTCTCCAGAAAGCAGTCTCCTGCTGAGCGCAACTACGATATTGGCAATAGAGAATTGTTGGCCATTATTCTTGCCCTCAAGGAATGACGACATCTTTTGGAGGGTTCCAAGGACCCTTGATCATAATCGACCACAAAAACCTGGCGTATATAGGGGATGCCAAACATTTGTCTTCCAGAAAGGCTAGATGGTCACTGTTCCTTTCACGTTTTAACGTCCTCATTACTCCAGGCAATTTGACAATGAATCAGCTCTGGAACAGGTGACATCTCCTATTATTCTGCCAGTGTGTATTATTGCTACTACTGTCTTCTCCACTGCTTGGCACGATACTGGAGGCTCAGCCTCAGGCGCCCAGTGGTAAACTGTGTGATAAACTGTTCGTTCCCCTATGTTAAAGGGTTAATATCATGAAAGTGTTCCATGACAATGTAACTGCTGGACAACCGGGCATCAATAAGTCCACTGCCGCGATCACTAGATCATTTTGGTGGGATTCACTCCGGAAAGATGTAAAAGAGTATGTGCAGGCATGTTCTGTGTGTGCAGTTTCTAAGGTGACTCATGCATTTCCTTGTGGCCTGTTGCAGCCTCTTCCTGTTCCTGAGATTCCATGGTCCCATTTGTCCATGGACTTTATTGTTGAGCTTCCTAGCTCTGCTGGGTTCACTACTGTTCTCATGGTTGTAGACCGATTTTCTAAGATGGCTCACTTCATTCCTCTCAAGAAGTTGCCATCTTCGCAAGAATTGGTCCTAATTTTCATACGTGAAATTGTCCGTTTGCATGGCATCCCTCACAATATTGTGTCTGATAGGGGCTCTCAGTTTGTGTCCAGGTTCTGGAGGGCGTTCAGTAAACAACTGGGGATTGATCTCTCCTTCTTCTCCTTCTACCATCCACAGACCAATGGTACAGCTGAGAGGGCTAACCAGTCATTAGAAGTTTATTTGCGTTGTTTTGTTAATAGCACACAGGACAATTGGTCCAAACTACTCCCGTGGGCCGAGTACACTAGAAACAATGCTGTTCATGACTCCTCTGGGCACAGTCCATTTTTTGTCAATAATGGTAGGCATCCTACGGTTCTCCCTGCAGTTCTTTCTGATACTGCCATTCCTGCTCTGGATGAGCATCTTGCCTCCATTCGGGATACCTGTGTTAAGGTTCAAACTGCTCTGGGGGCTGCTGCTGAACGCTTAAAACATTTTGCTGATAAGCGTAGGAGTGCCAACCCAGTGTACCAAGTAGGTGACCGGGTTTGGTTGTCGTCTCGCAACATCAAGCTTTAGGTCCCTAGCATGAAGTTTGCCTCCAGATTCCTTGGTCCCTATAAAGTGCTTTGTAGGATCAATCCAGTGTCTTAATCTCTGGATCTTCCTGCATCGTTAGGGGTTCCCAACACTTTTCATGTGCCCTTACTCAAACCTCTTGTCTGCAATAAATATACTGTTCCTTGTGTTCCTACCCCTCCGGTGGTGGTGGGTGGTCAGGAAGAGTATGAGGTATCTTCTATTGTGGATTCCCGGGGCACTTTACAGTACTTGGTGGATTGGAAAGGTTATGGCCCTGCTGATCGTTCTTGGGTTTCGGCTCCTGACCTGCATGCGGGTCGTAAGATCCGCGCTTTTCATGCCAAGTTTCCTCTCAAGCCCGGTCCTGCTCGCCCGGTGGGCGGTCTTCAGGTGGGGGGTTATGTCACATATCCATCTGACACTTTTCCCTCACCTGGTGCTCAGCGGCCGGAAGCTTGCAGTCCTGACTGTCTCCGCATACAGTCTGGCGCCGGCCGTTTCACATCCACGGGCAGAAATAACCCTGCGCACGTAACCTCGGGTGAACGCGCGCGCACCGCACATTTTGGATCCAAAATACCAGGCTGAACAATGGGAAAGGGAGGATGGATATACAAACCTAGTCTGACCTCCACTCAGTGCCCTGTCGTGGTTTCCCATGTGGTTGTCCAAGAGCGCGTTCCTGTTTATAGTTTTCTACTTGTTTTTGACTTTGGCTTTGCATATTGACTTCTCTGTATTCTGGTATGCTGACTCCTGGCTTTCCTCATCGTTGTGTCCCTTTCTGTGTTCCCTGACCTCAGCTAGTATTTTGACTATTCTATGTACGTTAAATCTGGCCATTCTAAGGACCGGTAATCCTGATAGTGATTCACATCGCTGTAGGCTCCGACAGTACCTCTATGTTGGATCGTGCTTTGCAGGACGGCTGTGGCTGGGAGGTGGGTTGGTCTGAGCATGCCGGCTGGCTCCATTCTGGAGCGTGAGGGCATGTGTGCTGCCGTCCAAGGAACCCTGTGCCATCTCCCGCCATACTGCTCCCCGGCTTTGTTCCTGTAGGGAGGCTGTGTCGGAGCCTCGTGGGGGACACGCCAGACTGTCAGGTGAATCCACGTCGCCACCGCCTTCATCGCCATTCTGAAAGGTTTTCTCTTGGCCTTAAGTTTCATCCAAAAGTAGGTGCAAAGTCTGTCGAAGAGCTCTTGTGTGTGTGCTTGGGTGGCTTGGTAAGCGTGTGCCTTGTTCTGCACCTCGTCTGTGCCGCCATTTTAGCTGGGCCCCGAGTGTTGGGGTAGTCCTCTCCAGTGGGGACCGGGGGGGGTAGCAGGGCTGTAATGTATTCTTGCTTGGGTGTTCGTCCCGCGCCAGGGGATCGGCCGCCTCCCCCAGAGCATGGGTTTCGCTCTGGTTTAGGCCGCATGGCCGGTGCAGGTTTTTCCGTGGTGCACCGGTGCCATGCATGTATCATTCGATTGTTCATGACGTTCTGTGCATGTACCCGGGCACCGTTTGCCGCTGTCGCTTTTGGTTCGCTCCGTAGCAGCGCTTTTTTGCCAGTCATTGCAGCAGATCGTTAAATGTGCGACCGGCCATTTTGGCGGTCAGGCCCCGCCCCCTTGTTTGTTTGTTTGTTTTTTAATGCTGCAAATACACAACAACTTTATAATCCCTGCTACTCCCCATGACTTCTGCTGGTAATTATTGGGAATTAGAATCTACTCTGTTCTGGCACAAAAAGATAAGTCATTTTTAGAGCTTGATACCATCTTTAACCCCTTGGAAATTCCAGTAGTGCTGAATTATTTGTGGACTTAACCGTACTAGCAGATAGTGGAAAAAGAGACGATGTAAGATAGAATAATGCGTGTTTTAAAGCAATTTTAGTTTTTAATTTTGAGGCTTTTTTAATTTATATAATCCCTATTGCTGGGAATGCTGGCTTGGTCCATAGTCGTTCTATTCTGTGCTCTGGATATCAAGGTTGTTGGTGTGTGTGTGTGTGTGTTCCCTTCTGATGTGCCACCTCTGTAGACATAGTGTCAGGTGATGCACAGCTGGCTGAGGTCTGATAAAGAGATGGTCTGAAAATTGCCTCCAATTCTTTCATCCAGGAAATGTAGCAATTAATTAAACAGAGTCCCTCCAGCACTCCTGAGCTTTGTATCGAGCCGGTGTACTTCTAAAGCAGTTTCATATCTCCTTGAGCTTTGTGATGTATGAGCGATTATACCAGAATAAGATTTAAAGGCACGCACCGCATGGATATTGTCAATTAACATTTACATAGATTTTTAATTGAGATTTCAGCTAATCGGTACTATACTTGCACACTGCATCACTCGTATAAAAATATTCACCATACAAAGAATATTTCACTACTCTAGTTATAGCTGTGCCTCCTGTCTATGTATAGGTCCATGGGCCAGGTGTATCGGCTCCTAGCAATAAGTAAGCAGGTTGGCAATAAAAAGAATGGACGATCTTGCACAGATCACAAATGAATCATTACAGGGACACTTGAGGTACTGTAAACCTTTCATCTAATTGAAGTGGTTATGGTGTCTGGAGTCCTCTGTTGTCCTTGTTCCTTTCGGTGTTAAACCATTTCCCAATACACTGACTGAGGATCGCTGGCCTTTTCTTCCAGCTAAACGAGAGTTCCCATCGCCTTTAGCTAACCACTTTCAACCTCCTAGTGTGTCAATTTCTGGTATGAATTGGTATGGCTAGAATAAACGGTGTCATCTCTGTATTTGTCATACCTCCAGTGGGGGCTGGGCCCCCATTGTGTTAAACTAACAAAATAGTTTAACAGTGATTAAAGGGGCAAATTACTTCCAGCAATATAATCAAGTTAATGATATTTAATATTTATAAAACCTACTGTGTGCCTTCTAAGTATATCTCCCTGATTACTCTTGCACCACACTAAAGTATGTGGCCAGGGGCTTTAGTGTGTGTATTTGGGAGGATAGAGCCTTCTTGTCTTTGTTGTTGAGGATAGCAGATGTATAGGGGCTATAGTGACTGTGAGAGTGTGTGAAACTGAGGGTGTAGAGAATGTATGTGGGAGATCAGGTCTGTAGTGTATGTGTGCAGGGAATAGGGGACGTAGTGTTTTATTTTGGGTTGATAGAGGCTGTGGAGGGAGGGATAAGGACTGTGTTTGGTGGTAGTGGCTATAGTGGGAGGACTGGAATTGTAGTGTGGGGGATAAGGGCTGCTTAACTCTTTCCCCCTCTGCAGGAAAGAGGGTCTTTCAGCCAATGTATGTGACTATCCCCAATTAGTGATTATTATGTTTGCGTTGTGTGTTCTGATTCTCCTGTCTGCCTGACTAAATATGGGGATATCATTATCATATTACGGGTGCATTACGGAGGCAGCCATATGACTAACTAACTGCACCTCCAAAACTAAATAAATTACCCTGGTTTATCGAACACACAAGAGCCCACAGAGCATACAGGAGTAGGGGGGTTAGCAGTGGACTGTCTTACCAGAGCTATGTAGGGACTGCCCTTATTGAGTGTGATGTCTGACATGGGCATGTACCTCACCAGGGAACCCAGTGTGTGCTGACCTCCTCAGTCCACCATCTTTTTAATGGAGGTGGCATGCACAGTTTGTGTGCCTTATGATTTTGTCCTAGCATTGCCAGGGTGAACATAAATTGCCTGTGCTGTTTTAGTTTTCTATGGGGTTGGAGGGATTCCCCTATTATCTGGTGTGCTGCCTCCCATCCTAATGGGTTTTAGTTTGCTTATTATTACTATTGGTATTTATATAGCATCAACAAATTCCGCAGCGCTTTACAATATTATGAAAGGGAGCCGCCCGCGAGAAGTTCTGCAAGCGCGAGTTAGCAGTAAGGGTGTGCGCAGCGGACAGGAGAAGGTCACTGGCAGAGTGGAGAGACCAAGAAGGGGCAGGTCTATGAATCAGGGAAGAAATTTAAGAGGGACTAGAGTTGGTTAGAGCTTAATAGGTAAGGGTTAGTATTTTGAATTGACACCTATATGATACAGGAAGCCAGTGTAAGGATCGACAGAGGGGTAAGGTATGGTAGGAGCAAAGGGTGAGAAAGATCAGCCTGGCGGCAGCATTCATTGCCAATTGTAGAGGGGCAGTTTGGCTTTTGGAGACAAGAGCAGTAATCCATGCAAGAGATTACCAGACCATGAACAAGCTCCTTGGCAGCATCTTGCCTAAGAAAGGGGCAGATGCGGGCGATTATTTTTAAGGTGGAATCGACAGGTTTTAGCATCATACTGGATATGTGGCGCAAGGATGGACTAGTGCAAGCACCATCAACTTGCAGGGAAAGCGAAGGAGGATCAGCATTATGAGGGGCGGTGGGGGGCAGGGGGAGATAAGAAGTTCAGTTTTAAAGAGATTGCGTTACAGAAAGCGGGAGCTCAGCGCTGCTCTATATATTGTTCAAAAATATTGATACTTGTAATACTAATGTAGTCTAGTTTTGAGCACAGAGCCATTTTATTAATATCTAGACCTTGTCTGTCTTCTATTGATTGTTTTTCTATTTACACACTGTTGCAGAACGACCTCTGTGTATACTTTGGTGGGGATCATATTAGTAGAGGCATTCTCACCTTGAATTTGCTCATCATACGGAGTAAAAACTTTTATCTTGTATATTATCCTTGTTAGAATTATAATCTCTATATTTGTGTATTATGTATTATTTGTCATTAGTGTCTGATTTACCATTAGTGTACGCAGAGTATAGCTAACTATTAGCACAATGTAAAGTTGAATGTAAATGTTCTATAGAAGGAAAGTGGCATTTGTACCATAACACAAACACTTTGCATTTCAAAACTTAAATGAAAACATGACACATAAATGAATGCTTTAACATTTTATTTACGGTCTGTGTGCTCTAATAGTCAGACCAGGCCTAGGGCAGCTCATATATATGTGTGTATATATATATATGTGATTCCAGTTGCACCAAGCCGGCTTGGTAATCTTCATTTTTAACAATAACATACAAACCAAAATAAAAATGAATCCCATTAGCTTCTGGCTCCAATTTAAATAGAATAAACATACAATAATTTAATTTAAAAAAAAAGGTTATATACACAAAATGTACTCACATAAAATGGGAAATGAAAAACAGTAGAATTTGCACGATCAAATGGCCCATAATTTTATTCCCTTTCCAAAGAGGTCCGATGCGCTCATTCTGGAATTTTAGGGAAAAAAACATGTGTGTGTGTGTGTGTACACTCTTACAAAAGCAGAGGGAGGGGGGGTCATTACACTATTGACTAGTGACAGTATTCGCTTTTCATTCATGTGTTATTTTTAAATGAACAAAATTCCCATGAACTAAAATCAGACTGTTTTGGTCGTGTCTGTCAATCAAAAATTAAGAATACATGTCTGTGGTTAGAACAGACAAATGAGGAAGCACTTACAGTAAACCTATCATGTACAAAGCAACTTGCTATTTTTACAAGCGTTTAGTAAATTTTTTTATTTATTTTATTTTTTAAGTGAATCTATTATCACTTTGAAATTGCTCCATCAAACAGCATTAAAAAGCCATTACCCCTTACACCGACTTTTTTTCTGATGTGCTTAGCATTTTTTTTTTTAATTGTGAAAAGCTACATCAGTAGATAATTAGAACACTGCACACCACTACATTGACTACTGGGTATTTAAATTTAGCATGGGAATCACAACAGGAGTGGTGAAGAAAATACCAAGTTAAATCTACCAGGTTTGTAAGAAAAACAAAATACCTTTAAACAGAATGTTGTTTTAAATAGTTATGTAAAAGAAAAGTCAGGCCAGAGCCAGAGTCAAATATTTAAGAGCCACTAGATATGGGACAGTCTAAAAGGCTTGACAACCAAAGTCTCATAACTTGGCCTCTGAATACTGCCCAGTTGGGGAAACTAGGGTAGTGCCCATTAGAAGTGAGTGTAGACCAGTCCCACCATAAGGTCAATGCAGATCCCAATTACCAGAAAAGATCTCTGCATGATAGAGGTAGCAAACCAAAACCTACTGTTTTTGCTTCCACAACCTTCCTTTGGAGTATTGCGGGTAGCCCACTAGGTTACAGAGCAAAAGGTCAATTTCTTCAAGTACTTATAAAATGGTCTACTTGGGATATGTCTACTTAAGATCTACTTAAGTTGGTGCTCAGTGTCCTTTTAAGTGTATTATATAAATTTTGGCCTCATAGTTTCTGTATTTTTCTTACTGTTCAAAATTAAAATACAATTTAAATGTAGCTTGTTACCCATGGTATATTTATAACTATACAATGTACTGACTCTTATATTTGCAAACAAATGAGCTGGTTATTTTTTTTACCCCCCACTTGAAAAGCTGTTTAGCTAGCTCTATAACTGAACAAGATACTTTTACAGACTTTGTCTGCTTTAGGCTCAAAATGGCCCTGCCCTGGGTACACTTATGCTCTAACAAAAAGATAAAAATCCATACTGAAATGTTAGCAAATGTAGAGATCTTAAGTTATTTAAAAATGTATTACCTATCAAATTGACAGCATAAAGATTTATGCCAACAAATGAATGATGGGTAGAGTAGGAGAACCTCCTGCAGGCTGGTATTTTGCTTATCACAGCCACTACAGCACACACTGTAGATGCTGTGACTATTCTTGTAGCACTTAACTACAGAACTGAGTGACATGTCAAATTAATAGTGTGCATGCATAGTGGGGGAGGCCAACTTTGCAGGGGGGTTGATTCCATGGACCTTTCACAAACACTGTGTGGAAGTTAATTAGTTAAGCGTTACCATGATAAGCAGTCAGTTTTTGTACAATTGACAATTAAATTTTAGTCCACCAGACACCTACCACACATCTGGACTTTTTCCGCAGGAGAAGCCCAATGTCTCTATAGAAAATAAAGAACATCTAGTCCATTAGACTGAGGACTCAGATGACACTCTCAAACAGTGAGCGTGGTCTTCTATGGCCCTGCTTAGCTCTGTAGCGCTAATCTGATTCACCTGCAGATAAAACCAGAATCAGGGGCTTTAGCCACGGCTGCCTAGTGGGACCCAAAACACAGCGTAGTGGTACATGGTGGTCCATTCAGCCATCAAACACAGAGTGGCCGAATAAACCTCTATTTATCACTACACTGTGAGCGGAGGCACTCTTGAAATTAAACATAAAACACAACAGAGAAGTAAACTGAAGAATATTCTATACATTTGTTTGAATTTTGTAAACTGGAACGTAAAGCTCTTTACAATGACAATTTCCAGTTAAATGTTTATTTTTAACACAGACCAACAATGGGCAAACCTTTTAACCCCTTAAGGACAACTTTTGGAATAAAAGGGTATCATGACGGAATATTTCCGTCATGTGTACTTAAGGGGTTAAAAGTTAAGGTTCTTTATCTCTTGTTTAAGTAATTATTTAACAATTATTACCCCATCATTGCAATCTAGTGTATAATGCATCAGTAATATATAAAATGGCACTCTTTGGCAAGTTCTAGGATTGCATGGTAGTATTTTACTCCTAACACAATCCTTACATTTTAAAGAGAGTATAAGAAACGGGGAAGAGAAGAAACACCTTAATGACTTGAGTTATTTTGGCCAAGTGGATGGCAACTAGAGTCCATATAAAGAGCATTTCAAAATCAATACGGCTTGACTTGCAGAAAGTGGCCAAGTATATACCCTCACAGTTTTCGGGTTTTGTTGCTACTTTGTCAAATCAGAAAACAAAAGATGTGCTAGTTTGGAATTAAGGAACTAAATAAATGGCCCCCAATAGTTAAATTAAATGAGATGAAAGAAAATAAAAAGGCAATATTCAGATTCTGGTGTGCGATCTGATAATACATAGACTAACACCACAACTCCATTCTGTTCTATATGTGTTTTATATTAATATTAACTTAAAGGGACACTCTAGGCACCAATACAACTTTAATAGATATCCTTTTGATAGATTTTGGTCTCAGTGATATGCAGTATTTTTTGCAAGCTCTAATCCTTATAGTTTATGCATAAAATAAATGTTTTTGAACAGTGCTGCACCATAAGCCTGCCTCCTTAGCCACACCCCCTCACTCTAGAAAAATTCTTCCTTATCAAATGTATGCATATAGCTCGGCCCCTACAGCACTGCGTGAGCTAATTTTCTATTCACAGACTGACTGCAAACAGTCAGAGAAACTACAAACAGGTAGTAATATCCTTACTACATGCATCCCTGGGTGTCCTCTCCATCTAACGCAGGCTCTTCTGTTGGTCAGATCAATCAGTGCGGTCAGTGGCTGAGCTGTGTACATACATATGATAAAGAAGTATTTTTCTGGAGGAGGTATTTGAGCATAAAAAATACAGCATATTATTAAAGCCAAAGCTTATGGTACAGCATTCTGCAAAACATTTTATTTATTTTAAACAAAAACTAAGACTTGGGCATGCAAAAATAAAAAAAGCATATTATTGAGGCCAAAACCTATCAAATGCATTAAACTAGTATTGGTGCCTGGTGTGTCCTTTCAAACCACTACTGGCTTTTTATAGACCCCATTCCAGTAATGCAGGTTTGACTCATTGATAGAACCTTTCAGCATTAATGTCTTGTGTCCAAAAGTATAAGAAGTAAATTGTGAAAATACAAGATGCTGTTGTTAATGCTTAAGGTGTTAAGCAACGTACGTTGGGTAAATCCCTTTGCTGCACAAGGTAAATATTTTTAAGACTGTTTCAGACAAGTACTTTGAGCTGTTTGCTCAGCTCATCCTTACGTTTATGACATGCAAACACTGTGCTGTATGGAAGCTTATTACTGAGATCAAGGTAGAAAACGTGTTAGGCTTCAGACATTGTGGAACTAATATCTCCCATAATTTAAAACATTTCCACTTTTTTGGCCATACACTATTAGCAGGCCCCTAATTGAGGCTATAAAATACTGATATGTCTCAAACATCTGATATCCTGAACGTGCATTTAGAGCTGTAGGAAGATGGAAACTCTAAGGATGTGGCAATATGAATACAGCTTTTAAAATACCGGTGAATGGCATCACGTCTAAGTGCTATGGGATAGTGTTTATACAGAGTATGAACTGCTAACAGATGGCATTGAGCGAGGTAGCTATGGCACTAGACTTGTGTTTAGTGAATAAACCCTGAATGCAATAGATAGTTCTTACCAACCACCACGTTATAGTGAAGGAAAAGCAATTTGTCATATTTGTTGATAAACATTATTCTGTTGCAGTCACTGTTTATTCTAGCATTAAATGTGAAATTTGGTTTTCAGTTCCATACAATTAGGTGTTCAGTGAATTAATGTATAAGTGTTGGCTTTTAAAGTCAAGGGGGCAGGCCAACACCCCCTGACTGCAAATTACAAGCCAATCACTTATACATATAGATCATAATTCCCAGGGACTGGCAAACACGGCATTATTCCTATAAAGACACAACTTACAGGCCGATTTTAAAAATGGAGAACTCACTGGTTTGGCTCTAGATATTGCCGGTCTACAGTCACTGAGTAACTAAGGGTGGGTGTGCATAAACATCAGGCCCCTATGGTTTTGCCGATTTGGAGTAATCTAAATATGAACTTCCCTGTAGTTATTTGACATAATGGGGTGCTACTGATTGGATTGGCAATATCTATATAAAAATTTCCCATGCTATGGCAAAACCCAATGTAGAACATTCTTAAAAACCAAAACTGACATTACCCTCTTCTCTTGCTACACTAGAGTATTTAAACAAAGCAGTCTCCTGCACACCCAGTGTACATACAGTAGTTAGGTTAAATGGAAACAATACTGCCCAAATAAATAGAAAATCCCTTTTCAGTAGATATACCCCAAGTGAAAACGTGCATGCATTTAATTATGTATTTTTTTTCTCTGGAGTTAAATCTAAAGACAATGGCAAAACCTTTATTTCTCTTGTCTGCAGCCTTTGCAAACCCTCCCCTTCTAACCCCACCCAGACTTTCTGTGGCTGTCCAATCACAGACTTCCCATTGCAGCTCAACGTGAGGTATCTGCAAGGCAGGTGCTCTGGGAAATTGCTGCCTCTTGAGTTTAGCTCTACAACCAGGAAGTAACATGGCCTGTTATCTGCTTGAAAGCCAAAGAGGTGTAACCAGGTTAAATTATAAAAGTGTACATTTCTATAGAAATCTGCACTTTTTGCAAAATTAAAACAAAGGGGACACACTCTTGACACATAAAGCATTTCAGCAAGCAAAAGTTCTTTAGGGTATGGAGTGTCTCTTTAAGGTGGAAATCGGGAGGATATGGGTCTTCTACAGAATCTTACTATAAGTAGTAGAAGCTGTAAGTTAATGTATATACAGTTACTGCATTGTAGAAATACACGGATATCATTTTATTTATAAAATACTTGATAATGGTAAAACAGAAATATAAAACCAGAAGAAAAAAATCATGCTTTCTATTACCCTAAAATTATATTCAGCTTTTTACAGACTTCTGCAGTCACAATAACAAAAAATAATAGGCTTTGCTTTAATCCCTAAGTATATGTTAAAAGGTTTAAACTACTCAGGACAGTTTTTCGTGATTCACATTCTTAATATTTTCCTCCTAAAACTTTTTAATTGGTTTCAGCGTTTCTTTTCTGTCCTTCCAATTGTTTGGCTCAGTCTCAGGAATATATATCGCTAGCTGCCTTTAACCTGGGTGTGGATTTAATTGGCTATTATGGCACTTAACTTATTAATAATGTAATTGTTGGTTATTTTCCAAATCCATTAAAATCTGTGCCGTCCCACTAAGTGGTAGCAGTGCTCTACTTCATTTTAAAAGCACCGTACTCTTAAAAAAAAAAAAAAAAAACAGTACTCATAATCCCCAAATTTGGCAAAGCACCCACCCCTTCACTGTGTGGCATTTTTGTTCTTAATTAGCCAACCTTTAAATCCTTTACGACAGAACATATTTTCAAAGTAGGGAGAGCAAATAATCTGAAAGTAGAGGGATTATGGAGTTACAGAATGTATTTATGAGCCACAATTATTTTACACCCCTACACTGTCATTTATTGGTAGGCTCTATACACTAATACAATTACAAAGCATTAAAATACATTAAATTGAATAAATCTATTGTTCTGGGTTATTACACACAAAAAAAACCTGCATTTTCACTCAAATCTAATACTGTTATAATTCGACTAATCTTAAGGGGGTGGAACAAAGGAGGTTGTTAACTTTAATGCTACGGGTGAATCAATGTATTATTTAATTATTATTACCTGGAATTTGACTGATTTGTGATTGCAGTATGTACAAATCATATGCTGTACTTAGTCATATTCTTAAATCTAAATCGAATAATGCAGGATATAAGCATACCGTAGGACGTTACAAACTGGGTGGAAAAATAGATATGTGTCTTGGAAAATAGGACCTGCAAAACCTATTGTAACCCCAATCCGCTATGAGTAAAACCCCACAAACTGTCCAAAAAAAAGCCATGTTTAACTTCAGGGACCACTCCACAGTCAAAAACATGAGGTTGGAGAAATACTGTATAGCAGACAAACCCCCTGTGAATACATGCATGCACGCATTTTTCATGCATGTATATACTGCGGTATATCTTATAAGAGCTTGCAAAAACCACAGTTCTTATGAAATGCAGCTTTGCAAGTCCTCTCCTTTTTCTCAGGAAGAGACTAAGTTGCTTTACAGGGAAATAACTAATCAGAAGCTATCTTCCCATGCATGTGTGCGGGAAAGAACGCTGAGAACACACAGGAATACAGGGGGAGTAGTAGAGCACGCCTGCCACTTCCATTAGCTCAGGGCACCTAATAGAAACAGGAAAGATCCTCCCTGGCTCTAACTGTAGTTGTTATGGTGTCAGAGGTGCCCTGCCTTCCCTCATTGTAAAGAGTCAAACCATTTTTAGAACAGTTTGACTTCTTACCTGTGGTCCACTGGGGGCAGCTTACCATCTCCACCAATGCTCAATGAGAGCTTGAAGATCTCTCACTGACCTACACCCAGCAGTGCAGGGGTTAGTTAATTTGCTGAGAAAACCTAGCTGTATTGATAATGTGGAATTAATACTTCTGCTTTGTTATCAATTATGTCCAACCCCAATGGTGTTTGTCTAAGAGTGCCTAGCTAACATGCCCAGACCACTTTTCACCAGTCACCTTTGAATGGGGAAGGTCTTTGGGCACTGTGAAGAGACCAAGTTTATGGCAAACCAGTTAGAGTTCCCTGTGAGTGCTCTGGTACTATCCACCAGTTTAATATCAAGCTCTGGCCCCACAGATATTAATAGCCTACAATTCCCAGACCTATTTGAAAGCAATAATGGCCAGGGAGTAGTCCAGCAGCATCTGGGAGGGTCAGTTTGAGATACCTTATTGAACAAATTTCTAGTCTCTTTAAAGTAACAACAATCCAGAATGCAATCAATTCTAAAATGGGGAGAAAACACAACAAACGTTTATTCCAGGACTCACAAAAAGAAGCAGTGTAGTTCTGCACACTTGTACTCGTTTCAGATCCATGGATCAAAGGCTTACTAGTGATCAACACCTTATTTATTTCAGTGCACAAAAGTATAAGAATAACTACGATGTTAAAGGAATGGGTATATAAACAGGACATGTAGTACAAACAAAACCAAAGTCAAAAAACCACCCACAAAAATACTTGTGATTGGTCCGAAAGGTAAATTACATTACAAAAGTATTTAGTTGTCTTTATTGTAAATGTCATAATGGTGATGCCAACTGTCTAATGGAATGTTCTGGCCTTTAAAATTGCAATTATTTCCACTTCATAACTATTGATTGACTATTTTGGTCACCAAACAAGTCTACATAACCGGAAAATATTATTTGAATATAAAGAAGCATAGAAAGGGCACACATAGGAGTATTGGTAATGGCGTAAACTACTAAGATTGAAAGGATGTCAAAATAAAATAACCTTCCACGAGATAAGTAAGACCTTTCTTTCCGACATTATCTCCTGTTCAATGGGGTAACCTAAAACTCAATAAAAGAGTAGGACCACTCATGTATGATTGATACAGCATTGTTGGAAAAAACAAATACATTTTTACCCCCACCCCCTCCCCTCCCACCAAGCCCTAGTTCTAAAGTTAACACTAAATTACTGTGCATAGATAACAAGGGATGTCTGAATAAATGTTCTCTCTTATTTAACTATACATTCTGGATTTCTAGAAATGCAATTCTGACACAAACGCTTATCAATAAGCACATAACAAGACATTACGTTTAGGGCACATGAGATGCAAATTCATTCTTGGCAAGCATATGAATGTTCACTTGGACAACGGATCCTATGAACGGTATAGAATAGAAAATATCCTTAATTATACCTCTTTTCTTGATTCGGGTTGGTCATTCACATGCGATGTCTGTTCATCGAATGCTATTGCTTATTCAACCTTGAATTTTATCAATAGCTTACATTTTGTGAAATTACATCACGATCGGTAAGATGACACAATCTGGAAATTAGCAGGAGAGCACTGAAGTATGTATATTGTTTTCTAAAGAATATCTGCAATTTCCCCTTCATAATTTTGTTTTTTTACCATTTAAACGTGTTGGGACTGAGGGATTATATGGGGTAAGTCAAAACTGAGGAACCACCCCAATATCTTATATTCATGGTTAAAAGGCAACATGTTATAGGTACACCCATTGCTTTAAATAACATTCACAGTGACATTAATCTTACAGGTGAATTTTGACCTATCTTGTATTAATGCGGCAAATTTGTCTTTTTTTTTTTAAATTTAATTTTACAGGACAGACCAGGTAACAGGACATCCAAAATATTTGAATCGCCCTGGCTTATCAGTAGCATTCATTCAATACTCTGCAATTTTTTTTTCTTAAAGGAAAAACATAATCAAGTAAAAATAAAAAATTACAATTGCATCTTTCAGGGGAACATATTTCACACAAACATCAAGACATATGAAAGCTAAAAGGGTTAAAATTTCATTCTAAGTTTGCAGGCAAAATGGCTCATTATAAAGTAAAACCAATGGCTGAAAGGAAATCGCCCCTGCGGCCACAAATATCTCACACCTAGAAATGTAAGACTTTGTGGAGGCAAAGTGTACATGTGTAATACAGGATTAGTAGAAGTCTATTCCATATATAGCAATCCCGTATTATCCATATAACACTTCTAACATTGATAATCATGCAGTGGAAGTACTTCCATCAGCTTCATGGTTTAATTGGCCCTGAGGCAATTAAAGATGGTTTGGTATTTTAATATATCCATGCAGATATGTAGATTAATTAAAGATACTGAGGAGTTGCCATTTTATAGGCAATTCTATAATCCCAGTCTGAACACTACAGACAATGAAAACAACGGCATGACTGTGGATCGGAGAAACAGGTTTGAGATTAGATTTAGAGCAGCCGAGTCCTCCTACACATCACTTCATTCTATTAATGCCTGTTTAGGGGTGGGTCCAGTGTAGAATTCATAATTGAATTTGACATAATTACAACAAGGGGAAATCGGTGGGCAGGACTTTGACTAGGAAACCTAGTCACCAGTGTTAGCAACTTATTCTGTAGTTAGCAAAAAAATTTTTTATATATATATAATCTTAATTCAATGAAATGGGATCATGCCATGCATTCCATTTGCATATTCCAGAGAGTAGTCAAGACGAGCACAATGGCTGCAGCTGGTGAAATTGAATTAAAAAGCTTAGAGAGCTGCTGCTATGATGTCATCAGCTGACAAAATAAATTGGTTCTGAAAATTCTAGGAGAAAAAGATAACATGAATACATATTTAAAAAAAATAAAATAAAAGTGAAAACATAGAAATCCGGACTAGATCTGGTTGTGTAACATAAAATTCTCTTAATCCAGATGAATGAGTTATTCTAGCTTCTAAATGGTAAATGGTTGGAGATTCTAACCCATCTCCAAGAAACGACAAATTGTATTTAAGAATTAGAGTGAGCAGCATAAGAACTACATTGTATATTGCCTTCCAGTGATTTCTTTAATCATCAAAGTGCATTCAGTGCAAGGGTTGTGGCTGCATTTTGTTTCCTTTTGATCACATTTGGCATGCCCTTTTAAGACCAGAACTCCTGTTTTTGTTCACAGGCTGCAGGTTTGTAGTTTTTAAGTTTGGTTCTGCATAGAGGAACAGTGCTATCTTGACTTTGACCTTCTACATCCACATCCAGTAGTGTCCGTTCAACCATTGGGGTTGCCACCTGCAGTGGGATAAAGCCGGAACAACCTGGTCTTTCTTCTACAGTGCTCCCACTGCTGCTGGCAAAGCAAGAGTCCAGGTTGCTTGGGGTTTCAGTGCATGAGCTGTAAGCAGGAGAATCGCTGCGGTTCTTACTTGGTGACACAAACCACCAAGAGTCAAATCTTTGCCTGTTTGTAGAAGGCCGAGGTCTTGGAACAAACTCCAGTGTTTTAGGTCTTTCTAGAGCAGAGTCTTGTTGTGAATTCCAGCGTCGCGGGGTAGGAGGGAAGACTAGATTTGGGTCAGGAAGGCGTGGAAATTCTTGAGGGTCTCTGCTAGGCGATATTGTATCTGGACAAAGAAAACAAAGCATAATTATTTATTTGGTTATTCCTGAAGAATCCCTCATTACAGAAAATCTAGTCCACCTAGTTTGCTCTTTTTTGGTGCATGCCAACTGACCAACACCAAAGGCACATTTTTCGGCAAAAATGATTGAAATAGACACAACCAACTTGGAGGATTTTATTTCCTTTGAGTTTGGCTTTTTTTTTTTTTTGTCTATACATAGATTTTATATGCATATGCGGTTATTGACCAAGCAGCTGCTTTATTTAGAATGCACTACATATATTATCTGCATAATGATATGAACAAAATATTATTCAAAGACCTCTTAAAGAGGGAGGCCCACTGCGATCAGGTCTCCCTGCCAATAGTGATACATTCATGATGTTTCCAATATAAAATATTAATTTATCATACCTCCAATCCATTGCCACCACGTCCTCACCGAGGTGCGTGTTAGTCTTCTGTAGTACCTACCTCTGTCTCCATCCTAGGTCCTCCCGCAGTGATTTTTCATTTGCCCTGCTTGAGGACATTTTCACCATGCAGGGCAAACCTCCTTGTATGCTGACATGTGTAGTAGTAGTGTCTGCTAAGGAATTACCATAGCAATGATAGCACATGTGCAGTGATTGCTCTATCTGGAGAACAGAAGGACTGTTTGTGGGAGGTTTCATCCGCTGCTCGTCAGTCACTTATTTGGCATAGCCTGTATGTCTAAGAATTGACTGACAGGTGGGAGAAGGGCCTATTTTTGAATAGGTTTTTCTCCCAATCTGTACATATGCCAGCTAATCTGCTAGCACAATATATAGATCATTTCACGCCTTTTCAAAACAGCATAACTTGCAGGTACAGTAACAGATACCCTTTAAGGAGTTATAATGATTTCGTATCAAACTTCAACATAACTTTCAGCATTTATTATGGTCCGTTAGTTCTCCTGAGCAATAACATGCAGTGCAGCACTAGCTCAATGGCTGAAAAGGAGCTACACCCAGTACCGCCAGGCTTAGCTTCAATGAAGGGAGCTTACAGCAGTGAGTAGCTGTGTAAGAGCAGCGCCCAGTAAGAAATCAAAAAGTTGCTAAACTTTTCAAAGGCTCTCTATAGCGTTAGAAATACAAAAACCTATTCCTAACGCTATAGTCTCCTAACAGTTTAATCATCCATTGCTTTCCAATAATCAAGCATTCTCCCTGTCAGTCAATTATTTGGCATAGCATATATGTTGAAGAATTGACTGACTGGTGGGAGAAAGACAAGGTTATTACGGGTGGGGAGGGGGAGAGGTGCCAAGGCACTGCTAGCACCCTAACCATTACAGTGTTTTGTTGTAGTTAAAACGTTTGGAGTGTTCCTTTTAAAATACACTACATGAGTTAAATAGGCAGCCAGGGATAGCGGGTAATTAAATGTATAGGAGAGTGATAAACTGAACGCAGAAAGGGAGGAATTAAAAGAAATGAAAAAAATAAACCTTCAACTTATTTTATGTTTTGTAACCCTAGGCTTAATCAGGTAAATATCCACACTTAACCATACTCTATAAGACTGGCAGGGTTATTCACTACACTATAAATTACAGGAATTTAATGTAAATGTTACATTTTAGGACAATATAGACAAACTGAAAACACAAGGGATTTTTTTTTTTTTTTTAAACTCTTCTCTGAAATGTTGAAATTCATATCGAATCCCAGCAATTCACATTTTTAGCAAACACAGTGAACAGAGTTAGTGCAAAGCCGGTGTATTTTTACAAAAAAACCTTTTTTTAAAAGCATTAAGTCAATACATTATCACTGTAGTCTTTAACAGAGTATTTCACTAAAATGAGAAGTGTCAGGAATTCAGTTAGCCGGACTGGAAGCATGACTTTTTTTTAGGTTGGATACTTTGGTAGAAATGGTCATGGAAGGTGGAGAAGCCCTTTAATGCTTGGTAAAAGCAAAGTTGTTCAATAAAATGTACCTACTAAAACATTTCTGCATATATGCAGACAACGTGTACGGTCTTGCAATACATAGTAGGAGTTTGAATATAAAGCAGACCTGACAACTAGTCTGATCATGGGAAAATTTTACATACAAATGCGAGGAAAGTGAATGCATTTAATATACAAGTGATTATATCTTATATATTTTTAGAGGGACTCAGATACACAGTGTGAAAGTGAGAGAGTGGAGGGTGAGTGTGAGAGAGCAGGGATAGAGAGTGGAGGGTGAGTGTGAGAGAGCAGGGATAGAGAGTGGAGGGTGAGTGTGAGAGAGCAGGGATAGAGAGTGGAGGGTGAGTGTGAGAGAGCAGGGATAGAGAGTGGAGGGTGAGTGTGAGAGAGCAGGGATAGAGAGTGGAGGGTGATTGTGAGAGAGCAGGGATAGACAGTGGAGGATGAGTGACAGATAGTGGAGGGTGATTGTGAGAGAGCAGGGATAGACATTTCCCTCAATAGCCCAGCAAACTTTAATACAAGTCCCTTCAACCAGGTTGAGCTGGTGGAACTCTTCCCACCCTTATTTCCCCAGGACTTGATCCCTGGATACAACATACATTTGAAGGAAGAAATCCATGAGCTTGACTTACTTGCTGCTGTACAGTTGCTGGGTGATGTTCCATTAACAATCACTGGGACTGCTTTAATTGCTCCATCAGAAGGGGTCCTCCTGTGTTCCTGGAGCACCCTTGAATTTACAGTCACATGTGTTGGTGTGAGTGACTGGTTAGGATCGCGTTTAAAAGTCTCAATGTGAACATTGACCAGTGGATTGCTGACTACAGGCGGCTGTTCCTCTACTGGAGTAGTAGGCATCTCATAAACTACTATCTCATCGCTATCTGAACGTAGCAACGAGCGAGTGGAATTACATTCAGAAATGGAAGACAGGGACTGCAGTGTGAGTGAGGGGGTCGGTTCAACATGGTGGGATGGAGACTCCTCTTTCCTGAATAGTTTTTTGGAAGGTGGACTAGTACTTCTCCGGGGACGGGCAGCTCGTTGGAAGAGGCTCTCCTTTTTCTTCTTCTCTTCCTTTGGTTCAGGTTCTTCTTGGCCTATTTGGCACTTGCCTGCTTCTAGGAGGTCAAAGCCTAAGCCTACAGTGGCAAGAAGAGCTCCACAGCCTAGAAGAACCAAAGAGCATCTCTTGTGCTGAGATCCACGCTTGAGGCTATTTGTAGGAGTTAGCTGTGGGGTACTTGTAGCAGAGTTCACAGGAGTGGGATTGTTACTGGTATCAGTGAAAGGACCTTCCACATCTTCTCCTCCTTTATGGAAAGGTATGCAGAGGTAGGACTTGTTGGGTGTAGGTGTTTGGGACTCTTTGTTGTCCATGTGGTTCACATACACGTCCATGACATTCTCGGCTTCTATACAAAGAAGAGGAGGGGAGGTAAAAACAATACATTATTCTTTAAGAAATCTTCCAATAAGACATGAACTTGACCATTTAAAGTGACTATTCTAATATTTAGCTGTTGAGATTGGTGTGTTTCTTCTTTTACAAATAGGTAAAACATTAAAATCACATTTGAGTTTTCACTGTGAAGCCTGTCGCTCTATACTACTGGAAATACAATGGGGGGCTTGCAGACCACTCCGCAAAGCTGTGTACGAATACACTTGAGTGCAGTATCCAACTACCAGATAGGATACATTCTTAGCATTAAAGGGACACCACAAGTACTCTCTCATTAAAACAGTTTTAGTTTATATTTCATGCCTTTCCAGCATCACTGTGTAATTCTCTGCCATTTACGAGTTAAATCACTTTTTGTTTGTTTATAAAGCCCTAGCTATAGGAATTGTCAGCAGCTCAGCTCCTGAGTACATACTAAAAATAAATCTAAAAAGAAAGTTGCTTTTTGAAAAGAGAGCATGCCTAAAAGTACAGTTCAATAAGGCAAAATCAAAACTAATGAGATTTGAATGTGAAGAAACTCCCACCATAAATGAGGACAAAATCTACCAAATACACGCCCGTTATGTTGGTGCCCAGTGTATAATGGCAGCGTCCTTTTACATCTTTAATATTCAGACATGCTCCACTATTTTCCCTTGCTTAGAGTTGGGCCATCTGTACTATAACCTCCATCATTCCATTCTCTGACAGCAATTGTAGTGCAACAACACTAGCTTGTATTTAAAATCAATATCAAATCTTATTGTAAAACACATTTTATGGGACAAAAGTATAAACTGAAAAATACTTTTGCATGCCCATTCTGTACTATATTGTTTTTTCTTTTTATGAAGTGGTGAAAAGGTATTGAGGTAAGGGAGTGTTAGATGGGAAGATGTTGCAAAACATTATTCAGATAATTGCTAAAATATTAAAATGGAATATCCCATTAATTTGAATTTGCTAGTTCAGTTATAACTATATTGTGCTAACAAAAAAAAGTAAAAAATTTTTTCCCCCTTCATTTTTTGCAGGTTAGACCAGGGATTAGAAGTACAGTCTGAAGTCTAGAGCAACGAGGATACGACTGGAATAGTTTTTAACGTAAAACTGACCTCCGTTTCAGACCAATGGAAAAAGCACGCCCATTACATCTTAATAGAGGACAATTTAACACACTTGTGTACGCTCCTGCTAGTATCATATCAGTATGTTTCCTTTTTCTAAACAGATGTTTTCATTTTTTGTTAATCCTGAAAATGTTTACAATCTATATTAATGGTAAACTTTAAAGTGAGCCTGTTGTCCATAGAATCATCCTCTGATATGTCTGCATGTAATCTATTATAACTTTTTGTCTTTATTATGTAACGTAAGTAAATATAATAATCACAGACTACATGCCTTAGTACCTTAAATATACCCATGACAAATCTTACCCGTCACAGTGGTAAAGCTAGGATTGACTGACGTTTTCTGGGATTTCCCATGATTTGATGTAGTAGATGAGCATGACTTTGACCCTTCTCCAGATACCCTACCACTTGTAAAGAGAAGAGATCATTAGAACCTTCATACAGATGTAGCATAACTGTTAGTCTCAATAAAAACCACATCCTATTTCAATTCTTCCACCTGGCTCGGTGTTCGGTGGTGTACATACAGGAGAAATAGATGGGGTTGTTAAACCTTTCAGTACACCATGGATATAAACATTTTTCCCCACATAAAATCTCTGTACATGCATAAATTTAAATTGTGAGTTTTCTTTTTTCAGGGCACTGCAATATTATTTAAAATTTGGTATTTATGAAAATCCAGTCATGTGACACTTCAAAGCTAAAGAACCACCCCTTCCCTGGAATTGTGGGAAACTGTTGAAGAATTGCAATTAGCAAAATTAATTTCCAATTAGCTGAGCAGAAATTTTTTTTTTTTTACAAATTCTGAAGTTCTGGCTTCTAATTTGTAAATTCACTCTATAATACCCATCTTCAATAATAAATCAAGTAAATGAGCTGGATAGATATGAATGCTACTTTTTAATGCTGGGCATCATCCCTCTAATATATGTGTTTAGTGATAAAAGGTTTGTTACTGAAATTACTGCATTTGTTTTCATTATACGGTACTATTTATGCTATATTTGAAACAGATTAGTGCACAATTATTACATTGCTGCTATGCTAGCTGCTGTAGATCTGTGGCTTACAACCTTTTACTGAGAAGTACCCCTGCAGGTCTAAAACAAACAAACAATAAAATCTAAGTACCCCTGCCTCGAGAAAGGAGGCCTGATTTAAAGGTAGTAAAGAATATTTTAAAAATAAATATAATATGACAGACTTTTAGTTCCACCGCCATCTTAGCTGGTTGCGTTTTGTCCTTCGCTTAGATAACGGATTTCAAATCCTACGCACTCTAACGACTTAGCCACTCATACTCGCACACAAACAGCAGATTTTATCGCTACTACCACTGCTCTATCCCTAGCTTTATTTCTGGAGCCTGGGAACGCTTGATACCACCTGACGCGCCATCAAACTGAAACCCATGCCTATGAAGTGGGCCGTAAACACCCAGTCGTGGCCTTCTCCCCCCTAAACGATCACACAGACTCAGACTGGCCAAAGGAGCTTCAACATACAGAAAGACTGCAGTGAAAATGGACAGTACACCGCGGTGGTGACTGCCTCAGGTACCACACTACAGGCATTGCACACGGTCCCACAGATATACTTGGCTATCTTAGACCTCATTCCACCACAAGCTTTACACTTTCGCTTTAAGAAGAGGCTCAAGACTCAAGTATATCACAAAGCCATTCTAATGTGAAAGCAGTAACCAAATATAACTTTAATGCATATGGAAGGCTTTGGCCTCATATCCATGCTATTTTTTTTTCTTCCCTATTCAAAAAAAAAAATTTAATTTTTTTTCCAAACTTAAAAGGATAGTAGGCACTCTAACTGCTTAATCTCACTGAAGTGGCTATGGTGTCCGCTGTCACTGGTGCCACCCATCTATTCTATTTTAAACCATTTTTCATGTTTTTCCTGAATTAATTTTCTTTTTTTTAACAAAAACAGAATACTCTCTCTTCAGGGATAGTGAGTGATACAATATAGTGCCTAAACAAAAAGCAGCTCAACACAAAGTGGAATACCCTTATTTTCACGATCAATCTTAACTACTTAAAGAATATATGGTATAGAATATAAACCAATTAGTGGAACGCTATATAAATATATAATAATGGCGGGGTCCACTTACACCATCAATTGAGTGTAATAACACACTTAGGAATATATATTTGAAGGTACATATAAAAAGAAGAAACAAACAGATATATAGTGCAGATGGTCTTTGGCAGTAATGGATGGTAAAGTGAATCACTAGAACCACTCACATAGTCTGGAGCCTATGAGGTATTGGCTCCGTAAAATAAACCTTTTTTTTTTTTAATTTTAATTTTTAAATTTTTATAGTGCATGTGATAACATACATGCCTGTGATACCACGACAGTTATAGCAGGTGAGGCAAAACAGTCAGAATAAACAGTGTCATGGTATGAGATACATTTATCCCCTCCCCCCTCCCCCCCCATAATAATAGGCACTGAAATGTATTGGGAGTGAAGACAATATTTCAACCCACCAAGGGGTCTTTCTCAAGCCACAAATGAATCAGTACCACAGTGCTATAAATAGGTGTGTAAGTTATTAGCACAAAAGGAGGCACATACAGGGTAGCCCAAAGTGTTTAAGGTTGCTAAGCAACAATTTAAAATGACCACAAATTTTAATAAAGAGCACTTATAATAATGTAAAATACATAGAAAGTGCATACATTAAACTGCACACATCAAAAAATGGAGTGCTAATTATTTGTAAAAAAAAAAAAGAGAGACAGAAAAAAGTGTGCTGGATCTATTTGGGTAATTAGCCGGATTAATTAGAGATAAAAGTAACAGTACTTGTAATCAGGAGGAGGTCTTGTGAAAAGGGAAAGTGTGTCTAACAGAGAAGGGTTATGCTGCAAAAGCACTACAATTTTTGTATTTTATTTTTTTTAAACTTAAAAATCGAGTTGAAAATGGGCAACATATGGCATGAATGAGGCTAAAATCTACAACATGCATAAGCCGGGTACCATAACCAATAGAGGATGCTGTAGAGGTTATGGAGCCAGGACTCTCCAAGAACAGTCTTACGGTAATCCGTTATACCTTTTAGGAGCGGTTGCAAATTTAAAGGGACATTATAGTCACCAAAACAACTTTAGCTTAATTAAGCAGTTTTGGTGCACTGTTCACGCCCCTGCAATCTCACTAGTCAATTCTCTCTCTATACACTAAAATTGCTTCATTAAGCTAAAGTTGCTTTGGTTAACGTATTCCTTTAACTTGCTGTCTCAGGAGCCCACAGCCCTTTCAATAGGAGTTGGTATGATAACATCATAGCAACACATAGAAGGTTTAGACAGTTTTCACTGGCTATGAGTGTCAACTAACCGCTCTCAACCAAGGAGTACTGCCAAAACCTACAATGATGGGGTACGAACAAATTGAAACCAGAAGGAGTGCAGACACTTGAAATAGCAAGGTTTAAGTGTTAGACCATTTCTAAACAGTTTGACAGATTACCGGTGGATAGCACTTGTGGAATCCTTGAACCATCAACGCTAGTGTGCTGTAGTGGTTATGATGCCTGGAGTGACCTTAAAGTGATATGATCTTTTACATTCTTATGAGCATTGCTTAAATTAAGGCTTGTTTTAAATACTTATTCCTCTTTGTGCCCCTCTTTCCTGTGTGTGAAGAGCAAACACAACAAAATATATAAAAAGTATTGTATGAGTTCTAACCTGTCCTCCACAGGCACATAATCTTTGTTGCCAAGAGTTCCCGGCACCCAGGTGCGAACTTTCTTCTTCGGATCTTTCTTTTCATCATCTTCGCTTTCATCTTTTAATCCACCAGTGCTCCGATTTCTGGATATGCTTGAATCCCCTGGTGTCACTGTGGAGAGGGAAAGTAAGAAAATAGGGATATCCAATCTTCGCTCTCAAGATTTCTTATAATGATCTGCTTGTCCTTTCCATTTAGTCAAATGTGTGCTAAAGATTTTAGGTTGGATGCCCCCACTTGCACATGTAATTTCATAAATGCTTGTAAAAGAATTGTTATATACGACGCTTGCTGTAATAAATAGTTTAGCAAGTTAATCTAATTTTTAATTTGTCCTGCCTCAAAATGGTGGCTGGAATAGTACAGTTACTCCTTCGGGAGTGGGAGGGTTTACTGACTTGATTATGGGTAACAGACTATGGATCAGCAACATTAGACCAACGTAGCTAGGCTGGTAAAATAGGTAGCTTGGGGAAAATTTCAAATACAGTGGTACCTTGGTTTACGAATTTAATGCATTCTCTGGGACGTTTTGTATTGCAAAAAATTTGTAAACGAAACGTTGTTTCCCATAGGAATGCACTGAAAACCAATTTAATTAATTAAAAAAGTCAAAATGAGCTGGCATGAAAACCAACCCACAATGCAGAACACACAGTAAAAGACATGCAAACGACAAAGTCCAGCTCCCTAGCTTTCCACTGCTTAAGAAATGCACCCAAAAACGCTGCAAAAAAAATTCCAGAATGGCTCTAAAAGTCGATGCAAAAACAGCTCCAACATCTCCCCGTGCTACCCACAGACACCATCATGCACAAGGGTGGCGCTATAAACCTCACAGGCGCAACACATCCTGGGGAAACTGGAAAAATCGTAAACTGAGGCATTATTTTCAATGAATTTTCATTTGTAAACCGAAAATTATGTTAACCGAGGCATTTGTAAACCACTGTAATCAGATCAGAAGTGTGCAATTACAATGACAATTATACACAATTTAGCTTTTATCTTTACACTACATTTTTTCAGTATAGTCTATATTAAATATTAAACGTTCTCCATTTGTGACTAATTGCTAGAATACAAAAGCAAAAACAAACTGTATAAACAGAAATGCAATGACTGAGTTTTAAAGAGCAAACTTAAATAAACCAAGAACATGTACATTTTCTATGGCATCCTGTCCAGAGTTACAGGTCATGTTTTGTGGTTTTATCAAGTACATTAGAAGTGGTTCTCAACATGCGACTTACACTGAATGGCTCTGAGTCGTGGAATAATGGTGGGACTTGCAGGAGGGCTGAACTTTGTGTTAATTACACTCTTCCTCTTGTCCATGGTTGGGGAAGCTTGCACTGTGAACTTGTGTTGGAAATCTGCAGAGCGAAGCACAGAACATCAGAGAAGGGAAAGAAGTCATCTAGCACCATCTCAAAGGGTCTCCTTCAGCAATTAGCAAACTTATGTTTTTTTTGTTTTTTTTATGAGCAACATAATTCTTACAAAATGCACACACCTTTGTTTTTGCTTATATGGGAAATGTGTGGCACATTGCTTGACAAACCTTGTTTAGTTTTTTTAAAGCTACCATTCCTCAAAATGTGTGCAAAATGGACATGGTTATGTGGTGCACACCGGAGAATAAAGAGAAAACACATACAGGGCTATTCAATAAAGTTAGAGTTTCTGTGAATTTTAAAAAGTCACTTCAGTTTTTCACTTCAGTTTTTAGTCTTGCTATGTTGACCTTTAGAGAGTAGCACCTGGCCACTGTTGCAAGCTGTAGTGGTTGTGGTGCTTACCATGCTCATTGAGTTAATGAGCAATGTCTTTTTTACTTTTACTGTTAAATGCACATAATCACATTATGGTACGAAATCTAGGCGTTGAAATAGAGCAATATGTGAACGAATTGTGCTCGAGATAAAAAGCTACGTGAGGAAGGACTCACCCGAAGGAAGGCTGATAATGTTGCCATCCTTCATTTTCAGTCGACTTCTCTTAAACTTGCCCTTGCGCTTTTTCACTTTGGGTTTCTCTTGGCACAGCTGGTGGATGATTATGTTCAGTTCCCGTTCCAATATGTCAATCTCTCTCTCTGCAAGTTCTTGCTCCCGCCTGCGTAAAAGTTCTTCATGATTTTTCTGCTCTAGAGCTGCCCTAGAAAGTTCCTCCTCCCAACTCCGCAGCTCCTGGGTTAAAAAAATAACTTTTTTATTATTTAAAAGTTACTTTACTCCACCGGGATGACTGTCCTACTAAATTAAATGGTTGCAAATAGTCAAATTTAATTAATACATGTTTTCCCATAAGGTAATTTCTATAAACCAAATGTGACCCAAATAATTAGGTTGGTAATTTTATGCCCTGTGCATACTAGGTACTGCCTGTGAAATTCCATAAAATACTGCAAGTCAGCACTGTTGCTTTCCTACTGCAGTTGGGGTAGTTAGCTACACTAGTGAGGAAAACAAGTCAGGAAATTAAAATCTGTCACTGTATACTTACTTTGAAGGCCACATAAACCAAGTTTATTGTATTTACAAAATCAAACAATTGATTTAAAGCACCATAACCGCTGCTGAGCGCTGTTGAGATTATAGTAGCGGGGTTGTAATGGTAAACCCCACATTATGTTAAGTAGTCAAACCGTTTTAGTACAGGTCTGACACTCAGTCAGCCCTGGTCTTCTGCATAGGAGTTTTCATTAGCTCTGTTGATCTAAGCCCTGCAAGAAAGATTCACACATTGGCCGAGGTGGTCAGTTGATTGCTCTCAGCCAATGAGCTAAGCGCTGCACAGCTTCTAGCTTTATGGCAGAGGTAGTGGAGGCAAGGACCGGCTCCAATGGGACCCCAGGTAAAAGGTCAAGCCATTCTAAACCAGTTTGACTACTTACCACGGGGGTAGGCCACTCCTGTAGTTCTCTGTGATGATTATGGTGCTTGGATGTTTACTTTTAAGAGACATTCAAAGAAAATCAGTTTTAAACATATCAGCAGCCTTGAGCTCTGTTCAATCCAGGAAATATCTTGGCCACATTAGAAACCGCTGATTTCGGTCTGTGGCAGGAAGGAAACCTTCGGCATTCCAGATGTGTACTACATATCCTATGACCCTGCATCTGTGTCTCAATCATCTATTCATCCACCAAACTGCCTGTTTGCCTACATAGCATTTAGAAGAGTGGCTGACTAGCAGATTTTAAACCTCTGTGTGCAGTCTTAGAGCTGGGATTTCTATGATTTATAGCTCAATTATCACACTTCTACTTGTGAAGACTGATATACAACTGCCGGAAAGCTTTCCAGTACTTCCTGATGAAACATACAATTAAAAGCGGCACTGTCACACCGAACTTATCTTTCTCCTATTGTTTTCTCCTCTCTTCCGCTCTCAGAATCTGTTCTACTTTTCTTTATTTCTGATCTAGTTTTCTAGGGACTACTTTGTCATATATTTTTCCTATGTCTGACATTCTCTGACACAAGGAGGAGCTTAAGTCAGCTCCATTTCCAGTGTCAAGGAGGAGGGTGAGTATTTTCTTTGACCACAGTAAATGGAGCGGACTTAAGCTCCTCCTTTGCTCTAAAAAAGTGAAGTGCAGGAAAAATACATAAGACAAAGTAGTCTCTACTTTGCCTTATATTTGAAAGAAAACTAGATCAGAAATAAAGAAAGGAATTCGGATAGAGGAAGAGAAACAGTAGGAAAAAGGGAAGTTTGGCATAACAGTTCCGCTTTAAGTTAAGGGGTAAATACAATAAGGCATGCAGGTTAGGAGGGAAATAAGTGTGCTATTACATACATAGGTGCAGTGAGAAGGAAGAATTTTAGTATAGCGACGTGGGACAGAGGAGGCATAGATTAGATGCAGTATGCAGCAAAATAAATGATAGGGGATTTTTTTTTTTAGTAAAAACTATATAAACTAGAGCTTGGAAACTTCAGCTATTTATTTAGGTTAAAATGCATAATAGGCGTTTGTGCCAGGAGAGTCCTTTTATTACATTCTCAGAACCCAACCTTGAGTTCCAAGAGTTACTTGGGTGATAGCAATTTGTGCACCTTCTACTGTCTTTGTAGAAAATGTCTTGCAATGACATGATGCCCATTCATTAATAAACACTAAACGCTTGGGACTAAATATGAAACATGTGAATAGTTTAGTAGAGAAAAAATTACACTTGTACACAACACACTCATGTATTAAAAGATCCCCATAGCGTCTTTTTTTCCAACTTGGCTGCATTGATAAATAGGCAAAAAGTAAATGTCATACGCTTTAAGATATGTATGGTGGGTGTCTCTATGCAGCACAGTGCCGGTTACCCCAGTTACACTCCCTGCCTGTAGACTATTGGATCAATAGATGAGATCCTTAGCTCGATCCCCTAAAATGAGAGCCTCTTACTACAATAGTAGTGACCGACTGTCGTCCAGCAGACATTCGAGGATTCCTATCTAAAGCACAATCAGCTGTCAGAAGAGAACATGAGTATCTATGAAGATACATTTCTTCTTTCTTGTTTTAATTAAGCAAATTTTAAAATACTAGTTTGTCACTGTAATTTCCAATATAAATACAATTTAGTTCATACCTTTTCCTTGGCTCTTAGTTGGCCAAACATCTCTTGGATTTCCTGTTTCCAGTCATCCTGCAGTGAATGGAAGGAGTCTTCTGGCATCTCAAAAAAGCCAGACTCCTCTATGGTGGAGAGTTGGAACAAAATGTTGGTAAAGGAGGGACGACAATGAGGGTCAGGATTCCAGCAATCTGGAGAAGGCAAAAACATGTTAGCATTCTCACAAATCTCTAAGCTACCTGTACGCTCTGACATGGAAAGCGTACTTGACATGCAGAAATAATATGGCGGCTATAGGATCATCAATACATTGTGCTAGCCAAATTGTAAACAAAGAGATAAAATATAATGTAATAGGCTTACACCTATATAACTCTGGCCAATCTAGAATGGTGAACAGTGTGTTACTGGAAGACCAGCATGAGCGGAATGTTACATCTGTTCCAGAAATGGTGCATGATGTTAAATCGGATACATGCACAAGCAATTAATTAGTAGCCAAGGTTTATCTGATTCTGCCTTGAGCACAGAGGTATACATTAAAGGTATGCTTTTTCAGTGAGATGCATAAGTATTCAAAGGCAATGCTCTCAGCATAAAGCCAACGGGTTGTTGGGTGCGACCATACCTTTAGCGCTCTATGACTAAGAGGGTGCTTTCTGAAAGCACACAGATGTGTGTACATCAAAATGTGTAGAAGAAAGCATAATTTGGTTAAAGGGACACTATAGTCACCAGAACAATAAAGCTGGTGTGCATAGCCTGTCCCTGCTGGCCTTTTAATATTAACACTGCTATTTAAAAAAAAAAAAAAAAAAAAAAGCAGTGTTTATATTACTGCCTAGTAACATCTCTAGTGACAGTCACTCAGACGGCCACTAGAGGTGCTTCCTGGGTCAGTGCTGCCGTGTGCAGCACTGACATTCAGTGTCTGCACACTCTGCATGGAGCCACTGATTGCTCACCATAGAGATGACTATAATTGATTCAATGCATCTCTATGAGGAGATGCTGATTGGCACAGCGTCCTGTGGGAAAACATTGGATTGGCTGAGATCAAGTTTGATGATCTCAGCCAAGGAGGTGGTGCCAAATACAAGGAGACCAGTGCTGGAAATAACAGGGGCAAGTGGTCCTGGACACCTAGAGAGCATTTTCAGAACTATAATGTCAGGAATACGTGTGTATTCCTGACAGCATAGTGGTGTTCCTTTAAAAAGATATTCCTAGCACTATATCTTCCTTGTGCCACCTCCCTCCCCCCAAAGATGTACTCCTTACTGTACTTACCAGATTCAATCACCGATGTCCCTGGACTGGCGCTCCTCCTCTTTGACGTCAACTCTTTGTGAGGACTTCCAGCATCAGTTAGGTGACCAAAAGTCGCCTAACCACCAGGAAGTGCCTCTAGTGGATGTCTAACTGACAACTTTCTCAGTTAATTCTCAGAAACTGTAATAATTACCTTTACAGAGTTAAGAGAACTGGGTCACTGCACCCCAACTACTTAAATGAGCTGAAGTGGTTTGGTGCCTATAGTGTCCCTTTAATTGTATCTTTTCACTGACATATTTGAGGATGATACACACAGATTTCTGGATGAGGAGTAATTTTTAACAAAACAGACACAGTTTGAAACATTTCACTGATTGAGCTGTTTTCCGTTCTCAGCACGCTCTTGCGACTTGTTTTTTGCTCTCCATATTCTTAAAGGGTAATCCAGACGTGGACTCCTTGCTCATGGTGCATAGAGGGATATTGGCTATACCTCACTGATGATGCCTAACAAGGTAGAAACAATCGTCTGGGGTTGCTGTATCTCTTGTGCAGAGAGAGCTGGCCAGTATTTTGAATCTGTTCTGCCCTTTTGGCTGAGATGCATGGCCTGGTTCTCGCTGTAATGGCACAAGATGAGCTAAAACCCAGCTTGAGAACTGAGCGGGGACCCACCAAAGGGCAGGCTAATTGAGCTGTTGTCCATTCTCAGCACTCTCTTGTGACTTGTCTTTTGCACTCTGCGGTGTATAACAAAATCAGTTCTGATGTAGCTGTTAACCTAATCTAAAAAAGTTATGGTTATGAATATTATAGATGATAACCAGCAAGAATGAGTATTTACATTTAAAAAAAATCATGATTTAAAATCGACTTGATTTAAAGGGACACTTTAGTTACCAGAACAACTACAGCTTATTGAACTTGTTCTGGTGAGTAGAATCATTACCTTCAGGCTTTTTGCTGTAAACACTGTCTTTTCAGAGAAAATGCAGTGTTTACATTACAGCCTAGTGATAACTGCACTGGCCACTCCTCAGATGGCTGTTAGAGATCCTTCCTGGGTCATGGCTGCCTAAAATGCATCCAAACATTCAGTGTCTCCACCCTCTGCATGCAGACACTGAAATTTCCTCATAGAGATTCATTGATTCAATTCATCTCTATGAGGAGATGCTGATTGGCCAGGGCTGTGTTTGAATTGTGCTGGCTCTGCCCCTGATCTGCCTCTTTGTCAGTCTCAGCCAATCCTATGGGGAAGCACTGTAATTGGATCAGGCTACCACTTCTGCTGATGTCAGCAGGCAATGTGGGCAGGTCTAAAGGAAACAGTGACAAAGCAAGCAGCTCCAGACTTGAATACAAGTATGATTTCTAGATTTAGGGTAGCATGAGGGGCTTAGGGTGACTAGATGGTGGTTTTAACCCTATCGAGGTCAGGAATACATGTTTGTGTTCCTGAACCTATAGTGCTCTTTTAATATAAAATCTACCCTGCATTACACAGAAGTCAATAGTTGGTGAGTGTTTCACTTTCTAATTTAATTATGGTTTTTTCTGTAGGTTTTACCAGGAAATGTGATACACTATGCAAGACCTGCAATCCTTGCTTCAACCACACAGATGGATGTGGATAGAACTTCTATTCTAGACCAGTGGTACCCAACCCAGTCCTCAAGTACCCTCTACCATTCCAGAATTTAGGGAGTTGTGTCTAAGGTGCTTTTAGTAAGAAAAAAAAACAAAAAAAAAACATTTTAGACACGACAGGGTAATCCTTAAATCCTGTACTTTTAAGGGGTACTTGAAGACTGGGTTCTTCACATGTTCTATTAATTATAAGAACATTTGAAGGCAATTCTGTTAAGCAGTCAAAATGTAGACTGAGTGACAACATTGAATTCTGCATACTTGACATCGTTATGCCATCAACAGCACCATACACTGCAGTAATAACTCAGTGGGAAGACAATACTGCCTCTGCGGATTAGTCTTGATACGTTTATGAATCAATACTTTGAACAGGAATGCAACACAATGTTTGAAGCTGTGCTCTGTGTCAGGTAGGTCAGTCATTGATTGATAGAGAACACACCTGTGTTCGGCCAGGTATCTGAAAAGCTTGTACTGTTGTAAAGACTGAAGACACCAAAAAGGCCTGCACAGTTACGTCATTCCGACTTAATTTGCAGTTACGTAAAGCATCAGCATCGTATTCACAACATGCATACTTAAAAATGTATTTTTAAACAATTAAGAATGTATATTTGTATTCATCACATAACACACCAGACAGTGTTTCCAACTCACCTTCCATGAGTCTAACAAAGGGTTCTGGGCAGGTGGAGGGGATGGGAAGTGAAAGTTTATTCATGGCTACACCATATGCAACAGCAAGACCATCAATTCCCCGGAACGGTACTTCCCCTGTAAGTAGTTCCCACAGCAGCACTCCATAGCTTTAAAAACAGAAAGAAAAACACAACAGGAGAAAACATTTTACTAAATTGTAGTTATGAGTTGTGCTTTATTTTAACCTTTCCAGTTTTAAAACTGTAAACATCACCACCTTGGAAGGAATACCCAAAACGTACATAAGATCATTCTGCATTTTTTAGCCAGGAGTCATTGTCTCATGGGGGTCCCGCATATCGGACTTCATATTTGACTCCACTACAGTAGCATTTACTGCAGTGAGGATCAATAACGTCCAGTGTAGTGACTGCTCCGTTTTATACACATTTGGCTTAAAATAAAATTACAAATATAAAAAAATGAAAAAATAAAAATTGAGAAAGAAAAGGCTGCTTTCAAATGACGCTAATTAAAAACAAAACATTTGTAATTTTAAGAAAGCAACTATAGAGTATCCTCTAAATGGAAATGAATACCTTTGTCTGTTATACAAGGGGTGCCCTAGATGTGCCAGACAGAGCCTTTCTCTGCTTCCTGTTCCCTGTCTGTAACCTTGCCTGCATGACTCTTGGAAACACTACGCTGATCCACTGTGACCCTGAGTTGTAGGATATCAGCACACAGTGAAATGTCAGAAGCACGTAACAGTTTGTGTTTCAAGAAAATGTGCAAGAATGGAAACACAGGGGAATTCCAGAAAAGATAAGAAAGCCAGAAAGAAGGGATTAACATAATGGATAAAACAAGTACAAAACAAGCTAGAGGGTGAGAAATCTCATAATACACACACTGTCACGAGGTACAGAGGAAAAGGGTAAAACTTGACAGGGTTCCCGAAAGGTGGCAGAGGACACAAACTTGACATGGAATATAAAGAGGGGCACAGGAAAAAGTGTACAATCTTGACAGAGAACCTCAAGAAGTAAATAGAAAGAGGACACAGACTGGACAGGTAACATCAAGAGGGATGGGTGGAAGAGGACAAACACTGCACAGGTAACATCAAGAGAGAGGGTGGAAGAGGAAACACACTGGACAGGGAACATCAAGAGGGATGGGTGGAAGAGGACACACACTGGACAGGTAACATCAAGAGGAATGGGAGGAAGAGGACACACCCTGGACAGGTAATATCAAGAGAGAGGCTGGAAGAGGACACACACTGGACAGGTAACATCAATAGGGATGGGTGGAATAGGTCACACACTGGACAGGTAACATCAAGAGGGATGGGTGGAAGAGGACACACATTGCACATGTAACATCAAGAGGGATGGGTGGAAGAGGACACACACTGCACAGGTAAAATCAAGAGGGATGGGTGGAAGAGGACACACACTGCACAAGTAACATCAAGAGAGAGGGTGGAAGAGTACACACACTGCACAGGTAACATCAAGAGGGATGGGTGGAAGAGGACACACACTGCACAGGTAACATCAAGAGGGATGGGTGGAAGAGGACACAAACTGGACAGGTAACATCAATAGGGATGGGAGGAAGAGGACACACACTGGACAGGCAACATTAAGAGAGATGGGAGGAAGAGGACACACACTGGAAAGGTAACATTAAGAGAGCTGGGAGGAAGAGGACACACACTGGACAGGTAACAGCAAGAGGGATGGATGGAAGAGGACACACACTGCACAGGTAACATCAATAGAGAGGGTGGAAGAGGACACACACTGGACAGGTAACATCAAGAGGGATGGGTGGAAGAGGACACACACTGGACAGGTAACATCAAGAGGGATGGGTGGAAGAGGACACAAACTGGACAGGTAACATCAATAGGGATGGGAGGAAGAGGACACACACTGGGACAGGTAACACAAGAGGGGACAGGTGGATGGCTGGAAGAGGACACACACTGGACAGGTAACATCAATAGGGATGGGTGGAATAGGTCAAACACTGGACAGGTAACATCAAGAGGGATGGGTGGAAGAGGACACACATTGCACATGAGATGGGTGGAAGAGGACACACACTGCACAGGTAACATCAAGAGGGATGGGTGGAAGAGGACACACACTGCACAGGTAACATCAAGAGGAGGGTGGAAGAGGGGACACACTGCACAGGTAACATCAAGAGGGATGGGTGGAAGAGGACACACACTGCACAGGTAACATCAAGAGGGATGGGTGGAAGAGGACACAAACTGGACAGGTAACATCAATAGGGATGGGAGGAAGAGGACACACACTGGACAGGTAACATCAAGAGGGATGGGTGGAAGAGGACACACACTGCACGGGTAACATCAAGAGGGATGGGTGGAAGAGAACACAAACTGGACAGGTAACATCAATAGGGATGGGAGGAAGAGGACACACACTGGACAGGTAACATCAAGAGAGATGGGTGGAAGAGGACACACACTGCACAGGTAACATCAAGAGGGATGGGTGGAAGAGAACACAAACTGGACATGGAATATAAAGAGGGGCACAGGAAAAAGTGTACAATCTTGACAGAGAACCTCAAGAAGTAAATAGAAAGAGGACACAGACTGGACAGGTAACATCAAGAGGGATGGGTGGAAGAGGACAAACACTGCACAGGTAACATCAAGAGAGAGGGGGGAAGAGGAAACACACTGGACAGGGAACATCAAGAGGGATGGGTGGAAGAGGACACACACTGGACAGGTAACATCAAGAGGAATGGGAGGAAGAGGACACACCCTGGACAGGTAATATCAAGAGAGAGGCTGGAAGAGGACACACACTGGACAGGTAACATCAATAGGGATGGGTGGAATAGGTCAAACACTGGACAGGTAACATCAAGAGGGATGGGTGGAAGAGGACACACATTGCACATGTAACATCAAGAGGGATGGGTGGAAGAGGACACACACTGCACAGGTAAAATCAAGAGGGATGGGTGGAAGAGGACACACACTGCACAAGTAACATCAAGAGAGAGGGTGGAAGAGTACACACACTGGACAGGTAACATCAAGAGGGATGGGTGGAAGAGGACACACACTGCACAGGTAACATCAAGAGGGATGGGTGGAAGAGGACACAAACTGGACAGGTAACATCAATAGGGATGGGAGGAAGAGGACACACACTGGACAGGCAACATTAAGAGAGATGGGAGGAAGAGGACACACACTGGAAAGGTAACATTAAGAGAGCTGGGAGGAAGAGGACACACACTGGACAGGTAACAGCAAGAGGGATGGATGGAAGAGGACACACACTGCACAGGTAACATCAATAGAGAGGGTGGAAGAGGACACACACTGGACAGGTAACATCAAGAGGGATGGGTGGAAGAGGACACACACTGCACAGGTAACATCAAGAGGGATGGATGGAAGAGGACACAAACTGGACAGGTAACATCAATAGGGATGGGAGGAAGAGGACACACACTGGACAGGTAACAGCAAGAGGGATGGATGGAAGAGGACACACCCTGGACAGGTAATATCAAGAGAGGCTGGAAGAGGACACACACTGGACAGGTAACATCAATAGGGATGGGTGGAATAGGTCAAACACTGGACAGGTAACATCAAGAGAGATGGGTGGAAGAGGACACACATTGCACATGTAACACCAAGAGGGATGGGTGGAAGAGGACACACACTGCACAGGTAACATCAAGAGGGATGGGTGGAAGAGGACACACACTGCACAGGTAACATCAAGAGAGGTGGAAAGAGGACACACTGCAAGGTAACATCAGAGGATGGGTGGAAGGACACACCTGCAAGGTAACATCAAGAGGATAGGTGGAAGAAGGACACAAAACTGGACAGGAAGGCTAACATCCCAATAGGGATGGGAGGGGAAGAAGGACACACTGGACAAAGTAGCATCAAGAGGAATTAGGTGGAAGGACACACACTGCCGCAGGTGGCATCCCAGAGGGATGGAGTGGAAGAACACAAACTGGACAGGTAGCACATCAGCCAAAGGGATGGGAGGAAGAGGACACACACTGGACAGGTAACATCAAGAGAGATGGGTGGAAGAGGACACACACTGCACAGGTAACATCAAGAGGGATGGGTGGAAGAGAACACAAACTGGACATGGAATATAAAGAGGGGCACAGGAAAAAGTGTACAATCTTGACAGAGAACCTCAAGAAGTAAATAGAAAGAGGACACAGACTGGACAGGTAACATCAAGAGGGATGGGTGGAAGAGGACAAACACTGCACAGGTAACATCAAGAGAGAGGGGGGAAGAGGAAACACACTGGACAGGGAACATCAAGAGGGATGGGTGGAAGAGGACACACACTGGACAGGTAACATCAAGAGGAATGGGAGGAAGAGGACACACCCTGGACAGGTAATATCAAGAGAGAGGCTGGAAGAGGACACACACTGGACAGGTAACATCAATAGGGATGGGTGGAATAGGTCACACACTGGACAGGTAACATCAAGAGGGATGGGTGGAAGAGGACACACATTGCACATGTAACATCAAGAGGGATGGGTGGAAGAGGACACACACTGCACAGGTAACATCAAGAGGGATGGGTGGAAGAGGACACACACTGCACAGGTAACATCAAGAGGGATGGGTGGAAGAGGACACAAACTGGACAGGTAACATCAAGAGGGATGGGAGGAAGAGGACACACACTGGACAGGTAACAGCAAGAGGGATGGATGGAAGAGGACACACCCTGGACAGGTAATATCAAGAGAGGCTGGAAGAGGACACACACTGGACGGAAGTAGCATCAAAGGGATGGGTGGAATGATTAAACACTGGACAGGTAACATCAGAAGGGATGGGTGGAAGAGGACACACATTGCACATGTAACATCAAGAGGGATGGGTGGAAGAGGACACACACTGCACAGGTAACATCAAGAGGGATGGGTGGAAGAGGACACACACTGCACAGGTAACATCAAGAGGGAGGGTGGAAGAGGGGACACACTGCACAGGTAACATCAAGAGGGATGGGTGGAAGAGGACACACACTGCACAGGTAACATCAAGAGGGATGGGTGGAAGAGGACACAAACTGGACAGGTAACATCAATAGGGATGGGAGGAAGAGGACACACACTGGACAGGCAACATTAAGAGAGCTGGGAGGAAGAGGACACACACTGGAAAGGTAACATTAAGAGAGCTGGGAGGAAGAGGACACACACTGGACAGGTAACAGCAAGAGGGATGGATGGAAGAGGACACACACTGGAAAGGTAACATTAAGAGAGCTGGGAGGAAGAGGACACACACTGGACAGGTAACAGCAAGAGGGATGGATGGAAGAGGACACACACTGCACAGGTAACATCAAGAGAGAGGGTGGAAGAGGACACACACTGGACAGGTAACATCAAGAGGGATGGGTGGAAGAGGACACACACTGGAAAGGTAACATCAATAGGGATGGGAGGAAGAGGACACAAACTGGACAGGTAACATCAATAGGGATGGGAGGAAGAGGACACACACTGGACAGGTAACATCAAGAGGGATGGGAGGAAGAGGACACACACTGGACAGGTAACATCAAGAGGGATGGGTGGAAGAGGACACACACTGCACAGGTAACATCAAGAGGGATGGGTGGAAGAGGACACACATTGCACAGGTAACATCAAGAGGGATGGGTGGAAGAGGACACAAACTGGACAGGTAACATCAAGAGGGGTGGGTGGAAGAGGACACACACTGGACAGGTAACATCAATAGGGATGGGTGGAATAGGTCAAACACTGGACAGGTAACATCAAGAGAGATGGGTGGAAGAGGACACACATTGCACATGTAACACCAAGAGGGATGGGTGGAAGAGGACACACACTGCACAGGTAACATCAAGAGGGATGGGTGGAAGAGGACACACACTGCACAGGTAACATCAAGAGAGAGGGTGGAAGAGGACACACACTGCACAGGTAACATCAAGAGGGTTGGGTGGAAGAGGACACACACTGCACAGGTAACATCAAGAGGGATGGGTGGAAGAGGACACAAACTGGACAGGTAACATCAAGAGGGATGGGAGGAAGAGGACACACACTGGACAGGTAACATCAAGAGGGATGGGTGGAAGAGGACACACACTGCACGGGTAACATCAAGAGGGATGGGTGGAAGAGAACACAAACTGGACAGGTAACATCAATAGGGATGGGAGGAAGAGGACACACACTGGACTGGTAACATCAAGAGGAATGGGAGGAAGAGGACACACACTGGACAGGTAACATCAAGAGGGATGGGTGGAAGAGGACACACACTGCACAGGTAACATCAAGAGGGATGGATGGAAGAGGACACAAACTGGACAGGTAACATCAATAGGGATGGGAGGAAGAGGACACACACTGGACAGGCAACATTAAGAGAGATGGGAGGAAGAGGACACACACTGGAAAGGTAACATTAAGAGAGCTGGGAGGAAGAGGACACACACTGGACAGGTAACAGCAAGAGGGATGGATGGAAGAGGACACACACTGCACAGGTAACATCAATAGAGAGGGTGGAAGAGGACACACACTGGACAGGTAACATCAAGAGTTGGGTGGAAGAGGACACACACTGCACAGGTAACATCAAGAGGGATGGGTGGAAGAGGACACACACTGCACAGGTAACATCAAGAGGGATGGGAGGAAGAGGACACACACTGGACAGGCAACATTAAGAGAGCTGGGAGGAAGAGGACACACACTGGAAAGGTAACATTAAGAGAGCTGGGAGGAAGAGGACACACACTGGACAGGTAACAGCAAGAGGGATGGATGGAAGAGGACACACACTGGAAAGGTAACATCAATAGGGATGGGAGGAAGAGGACACAAACTGGACAGGTAACATCAATAGGGATGGGAGGAAGAGGACACACACTGGACAGGTAACATCAAGAGGGATGGGAGGAAGAGGACACACACTGGACAGGTAACATCAAGAGGGATGGGTGGAAGAGGACACACACTGCACAGGTAACATCAAGAGGGATGGGTGGAAGAGGACACACACTGCACAGGTAACATCAAGAGGGATGGGTGGAAGAGAACACAAACTGGACAGGTAACATCAATAGGGATGGGAGGAAGAGGACACACACTGGACAGGTAACATCAAGAGGAATGGGAGGAAGAGGACACACACTGGACAGATAACATCAAGAGGGATGGGTGGAAGAGGACACACACTGCACAGGTAACATCAAGAGGGATGGGTGGAAGAGGACACACACTGGACAGGTAACAGCAAGAGGGATGGGAGGAAGAGGACACACACTGCATAGGTAACATCAAGAGAGAGGGTGGAAGAGGACACACACTGGATAGGTAACCTCAAGAGAGATGGGAGGAAGAGGACACACCCTGGACAGGTAACACCAAGAGGGATGGAAAGAAGAGGACACACACTGGACAGGTAACATCAAGAGGGATGGGTGGAAGAGGACACACACTGGAAAGGTAACATCAAGAGGGATGGGTGGAAGAGGACACACACTGCACAGGTAACATCAAGAGGGATGGGAGGAAGAGGACACACACTGGACAGGTAACAGCAAGAGGGATGGGTGGAAGAGGACACACACTGCACAGGTAACATCAAGAGATAGGGTGGAAGAGGACACACACTGGACAGGTAACATCAAGAGGAATGGGAGGAAGAGGACACACACTGGACAGGTAACATCAAGAGGGATGGGTGGAAGAGGACACACCCTGGACAGGTAACACCAAGAGGGATGGGTGGAAGAGGACACACCCTGGACAGGTAACATTAAGAGAGATGGGAGGAAGAGGACACACACTGGACAGATAACATCAAGAGAGAGGGTGTAAGAGGACACACACTGGATAGGTAACCTCAAGAGAGATGGGAGGAAGAGGACACACCCTGGACAGGTAACATCAAGAAGGATGGAAGGAAGAGGACACACACTGGACAGGTAACATCAAGAGCGATGGGTGGAAGAGGACACACACTGGACAGGTAACATCAAGAGGGATGGGTGGAAGAGGACACACACTGCACAGGTAACATCAAGAGGGATGGGAGGAAGAGGACACACACTGGACAGGTAACAGCAAGAGGGATGGGTGGAAGAGGACACACACTGCACAGGTAACATCAAGAGAGAGGGTGGAAGAGGACACACACTGGACAGGTAACATCAAGAGAGATGGGAGGAAGAGGACACACACTGGACAGGTAACATCAAGAGGGATGGGTTTAAGAGGACACACACTGCACAGGTAACATTAAGAGAGATGGGAGGAAGAGGACACACACTGGACAGGTAACATCAAGAGGGATGGGTGGAAGAGGACACACACTGCACAGGTAACATCAAGAGGGATGGGTGTAAGAGGACACAAACTGGACAGGTAACATCAAGAGAGAAGGTGTAAGAGGACACACACTGGATAGGTAACACCAAGAGGTATGGGAAGAAGAGGACACACACTGGACAGGTAATATTAAGAGGGATGGGAGGCAAATGACACAAATTGGACAGTGAACATCATGCAGGACAGATAAAGCAACCAAGAATTTGACAGGGAACCTCAAAGAGGATAGGAAAAGAGGACATATGACAGGGAACCTCAAAAGAGACAGGGGAAGAGGACATTGAACGATTATACATGCTTAGTAATCACTACTTTAAAATAATGTTTGAAGTCAAAAAAGTTATGACTATAGTGTCCCTTTAAACATGTCTCCAGTTTATAGATGGCCCTCTCAGGCTCTCTCTAGCAAACTAGCAGAAGTTATTTATAACCTAGTTATTATTTGCTCAGGATGATATCCCTATGAAAGTTTTACTGATGACACTGAAACATTGACTATTTTATTTGAGCATATAAAAGCTATGTTTTAAATAACTTTCGCTTGAGACTGCCTGAAAGTGCTATCTATACACTGGACGTTTCTATTTTTTCTGACAAGCACTGGGTAGTCATTGGTAGTGTATATATATGTATACAATGATAACTTTTTTATTAGACTAACATAAAAGTATTGCTTCACACCTGAGAAAAGAGGGAAACTCTCAAAAGCTCATCTTTAGTATAATGTTAGTCCAATAAAAAAAGTTATCATTGAATACTGCTGTACTCTGGTATTTTGGCATCTGTTTCCAGGGAAGTAATACAGATCTGTATCACCTTGGATTGTGTTGAAGGAACACTATTGGGTCAGGAACAAAAACATGTATTCCTGAACCTATAGTGTTAACACCACAATCTAGCCTCCCTACCCCCCAGAAATATAGTAAAATCTTACTTTTATTCGACTCTGCTGCTGCTGGCAATGCACCTGATCTGCTTGCTTGGCTGACATCATCAGAAGATATGATCTGAGCCTAGGAAAACATTGGATTTGCTGAGCTTGTCAAGGAGGCAGATCAGGGGCAGAACCAACACAAGCCAAACAACAGCCCTGGCTCATAGAGATGCATGGAATAAATTCTATGAGAAAAGTTCAGTGTCCTAATGCAGAGGGTGGAGACACTGAATGTCAGTGATGCACACTGTGCAGAAATGCCCCAGGAAGCACCTCTAGTAGCCATATGAGGAGTGACCAGTGGAGGTATCACTAGGCTGTAATGTAAACACTGCCTTTTCTCTGAAAATACAGTGTTTACTGCAAAAAGCCTGAAGGGAATGATTATACACACCAGAACAAATACAAAAAGCTGTAGTTCTGGTGACTATAGTGTCCCTTGAAAGAGGCCAGGCTAGGAAGCTGCATGTGCATCAGATACATACAGTATAAAGTATCATGCTGAATCACTATTACTGGAGGTGTTCACATACAGAGAAATAGTGGAATGGCTATCAAGCAAACAACCTTGCAAAGTGAATAACATCCTCTGAGGTTATTATGCTAAAGGCGGTAACGATCTTTATTAAGTATGGAATGTTGTGGAGTCATGCAGATACCCTAATGTACAGAATTTCACTTGTAATTGAGAATAATTGAAATGAGTAGCATTTTATCACATACTGGAAAATATGCAAAGACTAGGGTTTCAAGAACACATACCTCCATACATCGCTTCCCTTCGAGAACATAGAAGAACGAATAACCTCTGGCGCCATCCAGGCATAGGTCCCTGCAGCACTCATTTTGGTGGTTCTGTGCCATTCCCTTGCCAGGCCAAAGTCTGTAATCTTAAGGACTTTATTACTAAGGTCGCCGTTCTCTACCATTTCCGATATTAAAACTGTAACAAACATAAACAGAGTCAAATAGTAAAAATGTGGGACTTTTTTTTTTTTTTAAATATATAAATATTTATATTGCATGAGAAAAATGTCACATAACACTCCAGGTCAGGTTACAATGAATGTTATGAGACAACTTTGAGCCAGTACGTACATGTGCTTATGAACTCCTGTAAACTAAAGCATCACATTGTAGACAATAAAAACATGTTGTGTCAAAAAAATTTGTGTAGAGCACTGGTGAGACCTCACTTGGAGTATTGTACGCAGTACTGGAGACTGTATCTTCAGAAGGATATTGATACTTTTGAGGGAGGTCAGAGAAGGGATACTAAACTGGTTCATGGATTGCAGGGTAAAACTTACCAGGAAAGGTTAAAGGAACTTAACATGTATAGCTTGGAGGAAAGATGAGACAGGGGGGATATGATAGAAACATTTAAAGGACCACTATAGGCACCCAGACCACTTCAACTCAATGAAGTGGTCTGGGTGCCAGGTCCCCCAGGTTTTAACCCTGCAGCTCTAAACATAGGAGTTTCAGAGAAACTGCTATGTTTACACTGAGAGTTAATCCAGCCTCTAGTTGCGGTCTCACTGACAGCCATTAGAGGCCGCTTCCGCAATTCTAACTGTGAAAATCACAGTTAGAAGATGCTGAAGTCCATAGGAAAGCATTGAGTAATACTTTCCTATGGGCGGTTTGAATGCGCACGCATCCGCATTCGAATGAGTACCCCAGCGTCAAGAGAGCCCGGCGCTGGAGAAAGGTAAGAGTTTTAACCCCTTCAGCCCAGTGGGAGGGGGGCCATGAGGGTAGGGGGGAACCTAAGGACTACATAGTGCAAGGAAATCGAGTTTGTTTTCCTGGCACTATAGTGGTCCTTTAAATACATAAAGGGAATCAACACAGTAAGGAGAAGACTATATTTAAAAGAAGGAAAACTACCACAACATAGTCTTAGGAGCAAAGGTTTAAAAATAATATCAGGAAGTATTATTTTACTGAGAGGGTAGTGGATGCCTTACAGCTGAAGGGGTAGAGGTTAACACAGTGAGGGAGATTAAGCATGCGTGGGGTAGGCATGAGGCTATCCTAGATATAAGAAACTAATGTAAGTATTAAGAAAACTGGACAGACTGGATAGGCCGAATGGCTCTTATCTACTGTCACATTCTATATGTCTATGTTTCACATGTGATTTTGTTAAATAGTTTTTGTGCTTCACTTGGGAGGCCCTCAAAGGATCTAGAAGATAGTAGTTCAAAGGGTCTATGACATATGTTCATTAGGATCTCTTTCACCCCTTCCCAAAAGGCAGAAAGGGAGGGACAGGATCACATGTGGAGACAAGAACCTTTATGTCAACATAGTCTCAAGCAATCATCTCATGTGACCTTGCCAATTTTGTGTAACTGAACATGGTGAAATGCCACCTGAATAGTAGCTTATATATTTGCTCCTGGGAATTTAGGCATGTCGACACATTTGCAGCGATTTCCATCCATTCATCACTATCGCTATCTCCATTCAGGTCTTGTTCCCACTGTAAAATGTATCTCAAGGGTCCCCAAACCATAGATTGGGAGCAAACTTTTTCATAGATTTCCAAAGTACATACCAAGAGTTGTGGTGGGGAAAAAAGTGTGGATGAAAACCCCTTCCAACTGAAGTAAGTGGATAGTTAATACATTGCTAAACACAAATACACATACCAGTCAAGCCATAAGACTTGCCATTCCCACAGAAATCTTACTTTAAGAGTGCTCTCACTACTGCAAGGGATTCTGGGTAGGCATATGCAGATGAGCTCAACAAAGAACCAAATTTTTGCCTCATAATTCCACTTTATACATGGATTCCTTGGAGTATGTGTCTGCTGTATACAAATGCTTTGAAACAACTCAGGAAGAAGAGCAAAGCCAGTGAACCACTCATGGACAGCAGTTTCGTTGTTAATACAACTAATCAGCATGAGGTTGGTTATTGGCTTGCTATAGAGGCTTGGTGTTACTTGTAAAGTACAAACCAACACAGTTGTGGTGAGAAAAAAAAAAAAAAAAAAAAGTATATGAAAACCCCTTCCACCTTAGATTTCCAAAAGAAGACCTTTTCTGTACTGCACTGTAATCAAATGTTTTTTTTGTTTTTCTTTAAAAAAAGAGAGAGTTTGGCTTATTATTTTCTTACTTACTAATTTTGCTGAGCAATATCCTGTGTGTGGATACAGCGGAAGAATCTTGGCTACTTGAGAGAGCCTCTCTTTCAAGACTGCATAACTTATAATGTTAAAGTTCTCTCATAAGTGGAGATAACACTACATTCCTGCCTCTTCAATATTTCCAAATCCCTGTGGGCACATCTCTGGGGGAAGTCTTAGTTTCGAAGTATCTCTTTAGCTTTTCTGACCACATCTCATCATTTTGGCCTCTAATTCCACCCATATTCCTTCTCCCACAGGTGCGTGCCACATTCCTATCTGAGCCAGCTGTGCTGAATAAAATGACATATTTAAGTTATGGTACTCTAATTGTCATTTCGCTTTGGATCTGTATAACATATACCTTGCTAGTCTGTGCCTTTTGTTGTTCCAGATAAAGTTATCTATTAGTCTCCACGTACCTTCGAGGTCCCTCTTTGGGAGTAGCACTGGTAAGGCTTGTAATAAAAAGAGTAACCCCCATCCAAGAAATTGGTTCATCCCCCCATGTTTCCAGGACTATTTTCCTTTGAAATAGGATCAGATAGTTGGCTCTGTATAAAGTTTTATAGTCATTAGTAACGGTTATCCCTAGATATTTTATGCATTTGCTCATAGGTATGTGGTAGTCGGATCGAACCCCGTCCATGTCGGAAGCTGATAGGTGCATAGGCATGGCATTGGATTTACCTACATTTACCTTGTAACCAGCGAGAAGTCCAAAATTCTGTATCTCTTCAAACAAGGTGGACAGAGATGCTACCGGCTCTGAAATCGTGAGACTGACGTCATAGTCATTGGAGATCTCTACTGTTATACCTTTAACACTAGGGCTCTCTATTCTCTTGGTTCGAGTGTCAAGGAAAATGTGGCGGGCTCTGTTCTATCCCCTTTCTTTCCCCAAATGATTTATGTTCCCCTGGCCCCTTTCCCCCTTCCAGAGCCGGGCGGGAGGAGGTCCCTGAGGGTGGGGGCACCCTCAGGGCACTATAGTGCCAGGAAAACGAGTATGTTTTCCTGGCACTATAGTGGTCCTTTAATTTCTCAGTGCAGCCCTGCCCTGGCCACACCCCCACTCACACCCCTACAATTAAAGTGCTTCACTTTGATAATTTGACAATTTGGAAGTGTGCATAAGCTTAGCTGTGACTGCTGCTAATAGAGTTGCCTGCACCACTGTGTTTTCGTGAACTCACATATATCACTTGTTAGGGCAGTGCATGAAAAGGTCTGTTCTGGTGTATGTGGCATCCATATGCTGCAGGATTCCTCTCTTTCATGCATTGGTTTCCTTCACTTTGCAGGACATATTGCAATAAATATGTATGTGATCTGCCCAGTGAAAAGGGGATCTGGCAACCCAAGCAGACCTGTGCCATATTTTGATAAAATGAGGTGTAGTCAGAAAAGAAGGTGTTGTTAGTTTATTTCACACGTGCAATGTGCCTTTACTATTACAGTTGGGTTTCTCAATAAATATTGAATTACATAAAAATGTTAAAATTTCTGCTAAAACCATAAATCTGTGACCATAGCCGAGTTGCAGAATGTTTACAAATAATTTTAGCCTTCATTTTTCCGAATTATTTTCTAACCCCATTTTGTCCTTTTAATGTTGATTGTTACACGATTAACTTTTTGCATACAAACTTTGTACAAATGGCTAAAATTAGAATTATACAATGGTAATTGTGTGTGTATATATAGTGTTTATTTTTCTTAAATGTGGAAACAAATCATATCTTTTCATTAGGTGTGCTTTAGTGCGATTTTAAATTAGATTTTTAATCACAAATCAATCTTTAAACAGCGATATGTACTTCACCTACTGATTTCATAGATTCATTCCTGCAGTTTGGCTTCTGTAATACAATAAATTCTAGTGCACGAGTGGTGACAAAGCATGGCTGATCAAGGGATTGGAAAAAAAGATATTATTCCTTTCTGAAGTGATTCCTGAAATGTTGTTGCTCCTATGGCATATCCTATAAATACCGGCACAACGGGGCCATTCAGAGCTTAATTACAACTCCCAAAGCTTCCTTCCCAGAGTCGTTTTAGGATTACACCGTTAACAGCAATGATCTTTCATTAGATTGCATTTCAGCAAAAAAAGTAAAAAACGAAACTAATGATTAAATAAAAATGAGGCGTCTGTCGAGTGTTGAATGTGATATCCCAAAAACCTTTACTGGGCACTGGAGGTACCTTACTGTTTCTGCTTCCACGGAGTACCGATTGACTGGACAACTTTCTTTGCTTTTAACTTTTGATGTTTTTAAAGCTTCATCTTCAATGCTTTAAAAATGATATTCACACTACTCTATGGAGTCCGTTAATTAGTAAAACTTTGCCCATTCATCAATATTCTACTTTATTTGTAAGCCGTCCGCATGTGACACTTGATCTGCTGTATACGGCGTCTTGTCAGTCATATGAGGTTGTAATTCCGTGAATTTAAAGGGACGCAACGAGTGCCAGGAATACAAAGCTGGGACTAGATAGGGTTTAGTTCTGTCTTCCCAGCTCTGCTCCCAGCATATCATGTACAGTTAAAGGGATTCTCCCATGCCAGGAAAAGTTTTCCTGGCACTGCAGGTCCCCTCTCCCTCCCACCCCCCGTCCCAAGTTGCTAAGGGGGTTAAAACCCCTTCAGTGACTTACCTGTATCCAGCGCCGATGTCATTCGGCGCTGGGTCAGGGACCGCCCACGCTCCTCCCCTGCCGACGTCATCCGGCGGGGGAGACCTATTGAGCATGTGTGGCCACCGGGGGGGGAGACCTAATGCGCATGCGCGGCAAAATGCTTTCAGTGCTTTCCTATGGGGA